CTGCTGGCAACTCACGATGGCTGCCAGCTACACACGGTAGCTTATGGCAACCCGCAGTATCACTGGCCCTCATATGTGGGATCCGAACCGGGGCCCTCTGGCGTCCCAAGCCAGCTCTTAACCAACGTGCCACTCGGCCGGCCCTTCTATGTTTTTCATTGCAAAAATGCATCATGACTTTTCTGACAACTCAATACATAGCTTTGGGGAAAGTGTAAGAATCTTTTGCTGGATGATCTAATTCTTTAATTGAATTGTTTTCAGGATGAAAATATGATCAACTTCATCAAAGGTGGAATGAAAATTAGAACAAGTTATCAAATATATAAGTAAGTTAATAATTAAGATGTGGTTTTCTTATTTTTAATCTTATAACTGGAAGTTTGTACCTTTCTGACCACCTTCATGTGGTTTTTAAATGGTTCATGTACTATGTACTACCATTTTTTACTTCACAATTCTTATTAAGTATGACTGGGTTTTTTATTTGGTGTTGGTAAAAATGCACTTGATTTGGGCTTACTGAGTATGTATTCAATGTGATAAGACAACAGAATTTAAGTTTAAATGCAATTTTAAGGGGAAAATAGCTATAAAAAGAGGGTACTGATGTAATTTCTGATTAAGTTATCTTAGTATCTCTCTTCTAAAATCAATTTATAAATTTAAAATGGCAGGTATGTCTTTGATTCAGATTCTAGAGCAGCATTGCCCGGTAGAATTTTCTACAGTGAATCAAGTGTTCAATTAAAGTGGACAATAGTGTTGCTCATATCTTCTGTATCCTTTTGATTTTTATCTAGTTCTATTATTTACTCACAATGTTAAAATCTCCAACTTTGATTTTGGAGTCATCTATTTCTCCCTTGAGTTACCCTCAGTGTTTGCTTTGAATATTTAGAACCTCTGGTGTTAGACTCATATATATTTTAATTATTTTATCTCTATAATAAATTAACCTTATTATCATTATGAAATGTCTCTACTTAACTCCTTACAATATTCTTTGTCTTGAAATCAGTTTTGTGTGATATAACTATTCGTTTTTTTTATAATTAGTGTCTGCATGTCACATAGTCTTTTACTTTAAACCTATCTTTGTTTTCATATTTAAATTACATTTCTTGTAGATGTGCAGAGTTGTCTCTTGCTTTTCTATTCAGTATGACTTTATGTTTGCATTTGTGACTACAATTTTGGTTTTTCTCTTTGCCTTATTTGTCCCCCCTCCCTTTTTTCCCTGCCTCCTTTTGCTTTAGTAAATATACTATATATTTTCCAGTGTAACTCCTCTATTTTCTTAGCTATAGCCATCTTTAATTTTTTAAATGGCTATTCTGTGTGATTACAATATACTTCTTATCACTGTCAACTTAGAGCTAATATTGTACCATTGCACATAAAATATAAGAACTTGGCAAAAGTATAGTTTCATTTACCACCTGTTGTCCTTTATGCTATTCTTACGATAGTACACTTAGGTGTTATAAACCCCACAATGCAGTGTCAAACTTTTTCTTTAAACAGTCATATTATAGTTTTCTCTATTTACCCATATATCTATGATTTTTTGTGTTCTTCATTTATTCTTGTATACATTCAGACTGAAGAATTCCTTTCAGTATTTCTTATAGTGTGTGTCTGCTTTCAACAAATCTCTTTGTTTCATTTATCTGAAAATGTCTTTATTTTTTCCTTCATTTTTGAAGGCTATTTTTGCTCAGTAGAGTATTCTGAGTTACAACGGTCTTTTTTCTTCTTATTTTACCCCTTTAAAACTGTGAATCCACTTTATTGCCCTCTGTTGTTTCTGATCAGAAGTCAGCTGTTATTTGTATTATTGCTTTCATTTGTAATATGTCATTTCTTCTGGCTGCTTTGAAGACACTTTTGTATCTTTGGTTCTCAGCAATTTGACTATGATGTGCTTAGGTGTGGCTTTGAGAAATTTATGACCAGATTTCTTCAAATACTATTTTCTGCTCCATTGTTTTTTTTGTTTGTTTGTTTTTTTCATTTTCACGTGAGACGGTAATGTGCCAATGTCATAACAAGGTTTGAGGGAGGCACATCTTACACAAGAACCTGAACACACAATCATCACACTTATGAACTACAAAAGGATTCTCTGCTCCATTCTTACTCTGCTCCTTCTGAGACTAATTACATGTTAGTCAGCCTGATTTTGTTCAATAGGTCATCTAGGTGCTGTTCATGACTCTCTCTCTCTCTCTCTCTCTCTCTCTCTATATATATATATATATATATATATTCTACTTTGGATATTATCTCAATATCTGGGCCATTGTGAGGGTCAGTTTCTATTGCCTGCTTTTTCTCTTAACTACTATATTTCATATTTTTCTGTTCTTATGTCAATAATTTTTAAATTGTGCACTAGATAGCGATACATTGTAGAGACTCTAGGTTTTGTTATCTATCTCAGAAGAGTGCTGATTTTTGTTCTGGAAAGCACCTAACTTGAATAGACTTAGACTCCAAACACTTACTCTTTAGTAGTAGGCAGCATCTGAAATCCTGGTTGCATTATTTCTTCTAGCTTATGTCTGCTTTTGGAGTCTCCCGAGTACACACATAGTTCATGGGTCTGCTGAGAATTTGAGTTTTAATACTGATTTCGGTGTTTCTCTCTTATGTGATTCTCTTTTATCTGAAAATTTGCCCATTACCTATAGCCACTCTGGCAGTCGAAATTCTGTACTCTGACTTTTTAAGCCAGTAAGACTGTGACTTTCTGGATAAATTTTAGGCATTGGGGAATATTTTCAGGTGACCAGTCATATAAATAAACATTACATTTTCATCACATAAAAATACGCACCATAATAAAAAATACAAATGGAAAAGTGATGTGAATGACTGCAGGCAAATGACAGTATGTGATGCTAATAGCTTGGTAGGAGTTTTTCTGGAAGATATTTTTGCAGCATATATCAAAATTAAGAATGTGCATTACCGTTGATCTCAGAAGTCCTTTTTCTAAAAATTTATCCTAAGGTTGATTAGGATAGTATAACTATAGTTATAGTACTTAATGTAGGAAAAGTAATTGATGAATGTACAAGAATACTCTGAGCAGTGTGGTTTATAATATGGAAAATTTGGAGACAAACATTTAACAAAAGGAATTTGGTTAAGTAAATTATTTCATAGAATGTAATAATATGCACTTGTTAAAGAATAAGGTAGCTTTCATACATTTTCATGGAAAATTGTCACTATAACCCATAGAACAGTATACACTGTGGTCCTGTTTGTGTTTTTTAACGATTGCATTCTAGGCCAGCTGAGTGGCTCAGTTGGTTAAGAGCTCGTTCAAGAGTGTGAGCTCTGAGCAACAGGGTCGCCGGTTCAATTCCCGGCCTGAGCTAAGCTGCCGCTGAGCTTCCAACAGGTGGCAGGATGGCTCAGCTAGGAAAAATAAATAAATAAATAAACAAACAAACATTGCATTGTTAGTAAAGCATAAAAACACCTAGAAGATTATTTACTAGGCTATTAACAGTGACTCTCTCTCTGTGGTGTGGTTTTGTAGGAATACTTATGCTCTTACCATATCATTTGAAAATATTATAACAATTATCTATTATCAGCAAATAGGAATTTACATTTTGATTGAAAAAGAAAAGAACTCTGAATAATCATATCCACCTCCTGCCATCCTGTTGATATTTTGACATTTGAGTTTTTTATGCATGTGAATAAGCCTATATGATTATCTTTTTATATAATGAAATTATGTTTTTTAAAATTTTTTTATTAAATTATTTTTTATTATGAAATACACATTTTTTAGAATTAGTTTCAGCTGTTGAAATTATATGTTTTGTATCATTTTGAAATTCCCTTTTTTATTTCATATTAGAAAATTTTAGGTCATTCAATTTTTTTTAATTCATCATGGCTTTTAATGACTGCTTAGTATTCCATTATGTGGATGTACCACATGTGTATGTATAAATGTATGAATTCATGCAACTGTCTTCTTAATTAATTTCCTATTGTTGCCTATTTACTTTGTTTATAAATTTTCATTGTAGATAAGTAATATAGTACAGTTTTATGTGTATCCATGCTATTTCCTTTGAATAAAATGGGATTTGTTGGGTCAAAGGTATACATGTGTTTAAGATATTAAATATATAATGCAAAATTATTGTGAATAACTGGATTGGCTAACTTTTTCTTAAAGGACCAGATAGTAAGTGTTTTAGATTTTTGGGACATAAGCCCTCTGCCGCAACTACTGAACCCTACAACTGTAGTGTGTAAGCAGCCATAGACAATAGCTAAATGAATGGGTGTGACTATTCCCATAGTGTGCCAACCCCTGTACTATAACCACCAGAAGTAAGTGAATGTATCTATTTATTCTTACCATGGCTAGCCCTGGTTTTCCATTTAAAAATTAAAATAATGCTTTATTATCACCAATGCATATATATTTTAGAAAACAGGAAAATGTAGATGAACAAATATTAAAACACACACACACACACACACACACACACACACACACACACACACACCTTCTATACGCTTACCAGTCCGTGATTACAGCTGTTAACACCTCAGTATATGTTCTTCTAGAATATTTTCTATACAAATCTAAAGATTTATGTATTTTCTAATCAAAATGAGATAACACTGTACATATTCTTTTGTAACCAGCTTTTCCAGTTAATGATCTTTATATTTTCATGTCATTTACTTCATGTAATACTCAATCCATCTTCAAATTTTCCCAGTTGGCCCGAAATTTCTTTATTCCTGGCACGTGTGTACCAGGATCCAACCCAAGACTATCTATCTAAAGCATCTGGTGTTTATGTCCATTAAATATATTTTATTTTAGAAGAGTCTCTATATTTATGACAGTTGTTGAAAATCCCAATTTAATTGTCCTACAGAATATCTACAAATTTGTTTGGTGGCTTTCGTGAGTTTTCATTTAGCTTGTTTCTTTTCTTAGTCAGTTCAGGCTGCCATTACAAAATTCTATAGACGGGTGGCTTAAACAACAGAAATTTATTGTTTCCTAGTTCTGGAGGTTGGAAGTCCAAGATCAGGGAGCCAACATGATCAGTTTCTGGCGAGGACTGTCTTCTCGGCTTGCAGACAGGCACCTTCTCACTTGTCCTTACATGGCAGAGAGAGAGTTATGTCTTTCTCTTCCTCTTTTTATAAGGCCATCGATTTTACCAGATTAAGACCCTCTCTTTATGATCTCATTTAATCTGAATTACCTCCTAAAATCCCTGTCTCCAAATACAGTCACATTGGGTGGTTAGAGCTTCAATATATGAATTTGGGTGGGGGGACATAATGCAGCGCATAGCATTCCTCTAGCCCCTTATATTTCCTGTAAACTGTAAGTTAGATCTACAGAATTACTAGATTCAAGTTAAATGCGTTTGGCTAAAATACATCATAAATGAAGGTGCATGCTTTATAATTACTTCACAGCAAGTGATACATAATATCTGGTTATTTCTTAATACCTTTAAAATATATTTGTCAATTTAATAATAAGGAATTTATCAATTCCTGGTTATTACCAATTTTTATATTTCTGTCATTTTTTAAATTTGCATTTCTCTGATTTAATTTGCATTGAAGATGTGAAGGGAAAGGGAGACAAGAAATTGAAGACAACAGAAAAGAAATTGAAGTGAGAAATCAGAAATGTTTGCTTGAATGGAACAGGGAAAGATAAGAGGACAAAGGAGGCCATCGTGATGAAATTTGCTTTCATCTTTCAGTCTTTCTTAGTGACAAGCTCTAATTTATTTGGTCTGTTTGAGACCATGGCAATCACACCAAAATTGAAATCTTTTTGTCAGTGGTATTTCAGTTACTTGGTGGAAAGTAGGGTGACCAGTGTGTGCATAGCAGCTGAGGAACAGCACTGCTAGAAAGTCCTGTCTAACACATTGCTGGGAAGCTGAAGTCACAGGCATGTGGTTCTATGGCCCCTGAGTCATGGTTGCTGGTGTTTAAATCCTCTCTTTTTTTAAACCCAGAAAGATTGGTCCTGATAAACAGTGCAAAAATGGGTGTGCCATTTTCTTGAATGATTATTACCCAATAGCCTTAAGAGTAAAACTTGGCACAGCATGATCCACTTAAATATTCCCTAGTAGTTTGGGAATAATGACATAATTATTTTATAGTGTGTAAATGTGAAATTTGACTTAATAATTTTCAGAGTCATAGTAAACTTATGCTATAAATTTTTTCTTCAATCTAGAGAATGTCTTTCTATCCTGCATGTAATTCAGAAGAACAAAATGGAGCAACAGTTCTTCTATGAGTTTGAAGGGGGTGTCAAACTTGGAATAGGGGCCTTTAATTTGGTAAGTACATAATTATAAAGCAGCCAGAAACTTTTGTGAAAGAACCATAGGTTTTCAGTGCCTTCTATATTGCATTTGAACCTCAACCTGAACCTCTACCTGGGTTTAGTTGATAAGTGACAAGAGTGGGATCAGTTTTCTTGTGTGGGGCTTTGGTCATTATGTGTTGTAAAGTCCTGCACATGCTCAGAGTAGTGTTGGATTGTGCAGTAAGAAAGCATGTAGCACTCTAGTGACATGCCTAGTGACTAAAACTTGGTTCAAATTTTTCATGTGACTGAATCATTAAAACTTTAAGTTGTTTGCATTTTAATATTTATCTACAGTTAGATACACTAACACATAAGTACACTTGTATTTTTTTTCTTACAGATGCTCTCCCTTTTACCAGCACGGATTATCAGACTGCTAGAATTTATAGGATTCTCTGGAAATAGGGTACACATTTTATTTTATCTTAATTTTGACAGTGAAGATAAAACATTATTTATTGACTATAAGAGCAATGCAACATGTTCTCATGACAATTATTGGCAGTTTGTTTGCAGCAGAATAATGAGCTATAGGTCCTTGATCATATTTTTCAGGAGTTGAAACAATGTTTCTATGGAAAGTTTAAATTTTTTGTCCCTGTGACCTAAATTCTGGGATTAAAATTTTTATTTTACTAATATTGCTGCTTGCTGACCTTTTGTACTCTTGTGTGGTTCAAATTTGCTTCCTTGACATTTTTGTAAGCCCAGAGTTTTCTGTAAAACCAGGAAATTAGGCTAGATTTCCACGTCTATCATTTTATGATTCGCTTGGATCAAGCATTGTTGCAGTATTTTGTGTTTCCTTGTGGTTTGACAGGTTTCACTATAAAACCAAGTGAGTAAATTTGTTTTTTATGAGTTTTGTTCATTGTAACTCTATGTAGTTGTTATTTTAGGTATAACATTTATTAATTGTAATACTCAATGTGCTATTTCCAGAGTTGCCTTATAGCAAAAGCTGCCCCTGTGAGTCAGGAGAGTAGGTTTTGAGGAATGAATGAGAACAAGTACAAGAAACTATAAATTTTTCCGTCAATTCCAGCATCCAGGTTTTTCATAAGCTATAATGTCTTTATGGTGATCCCTTTATGATATGTTCTGTCTACTCGGACTCTGTATTTTATGATTACTCTTCCCCTAGACCATTCATCTTCCATATGGCACTGACCATATTCTGAAAAATCATGTGTTCATGTACTGTCTTCCCTCTTTGATGGAAAGATCTTTGAAGGCAGAACCGTATTTGTGCATACCCGCCATAGTGCCTTCCACAGAGATCCTCAATATGTTTTAATAAATTAATATTTATATCAGAGAAATACAGCATTTCTATGAAATGAGCCCTGCTTTTTTCTCTCCCTAGAATCACTTGATACAAAAGAATTTGTGACATTGTCCTATGCCAGTTTAAAATGTCACATTTGTTTCTTGTTAGGAATTACCACGATTCTAAGCGCTTGAAAAATAAACTCCACCTTTGTGAAGGGTGGGGATATGTGAATTAGCATCTTAAAGTGTCTAAACATGACTTATTTTTTAAAGCTTTTTATTAAAAATATAGCTAACATAAATATTGCATTAGTTTCAGTTGTACACCATAATTATTCAACATTCATATACCTAAAGAAGTGATCACCATAAGTCCAGCAACCACTTGACTCCATACTATGCTATCACAATATTATTAACTGTATTCTCCATGCTGTGTATTATATCCCCATGACTTCCTTGTTTTATACCTGGAGATTTGGACCTCTTATTCCCCTTTACCTTTTCCCCCCTTTTAAATTTTTCAACTGCAGTTGACGTTCAATATTATTTTATATTAATTTCAGGTGTGCAGCATAGTGGTTAGACATTTATATAATTTAAGAAGTGATCCCCCCTGACTAGTCTAGTACTCATCTGACACTATACATAGTTATTACCATATTATTGACTATATTCTCTATGCTTTACTTTACATCCCCATGACTGTTTTGTAATTACCAGTTTGTAGTTCTTAATCCCTTCACCTTTTCACCCTGCTTCCCTAACGCCTCCCACCTATCACCCCAACAGATCTAGTACCCATCTGACACCATACAAAGTTATTACAGTATTATTGACTATATTCCTTATGCTATACCTGACATTTTCATGACTATTTTGTAACAACCAATTTGTACTTCTTAATTCCTTCCCCTTTTTTCACCCACACCCCAAAAACCCCCTTTCCATCTGGCAACCATCAAAATGTTTGATGTATCTATGAGCTCGTTTCTGTTTTGGTTGTGTGTTTATTTTATTCTTTAGATTCCACATATGTTAGATTGCACTGATATACTCCACTCAGCACAGTACTCTCCAGGACCATCCATGCTGCCACAAATGGCAAGAACCCATTCCCTTCCATGGCCGAGCAAGGTTCCATTGTATACATGTACCACCTCTTCTTTATCCATTTATCAACAGACATCCAGGCTGCCTCCACATCTTGGCCGTTGTAAACAATGTTGCAGTGAACATATGGATGCACATGTGCCCTTGAAGTAGTGTTTTGCTTTTCTTCGGATAAATACCCAGAAGTGGGATTTCTGGGTCCTTCTTTGTCTCTTGTTATAGCCTTTGTTTTAAAGTCTATTTTGTCTGGTATAAGCATTGCTACTCCAGCTTGTGTGTGTCTTTCAGTCTGAAGTGCATCTCATATAGGTAGCTTATGTAAGGGTTTTTGTTTTCTTCTCCATTCAGCCTTTCTATGTCTTTTGATTGGAGCATTTAATTCATTTACCTTGAAAGTAATTGTTGATAGATATGTAGCTGTTGCCATTTTATTATTTATATTTTTTATTTATTTATTTTTTTCCATCTTAAAGAAGTCCCTCTAACGTTCCTTGTAATACTGGTTTGGTGGTGGTGATCCTTTAGCTTTTTCTTGTCTGGGAAGCTCTTCGTCTGTTCCTCAATTTTAAATGATAGCCTTGCTGGGTAGAGTACCCTTGATTGTAGGCTCTTGGTTTTCATCATGTTGAATATTTCATGCCAGTCCCTTCAAGCCTGCAAAGTTTTTGTTGAGAAGTCAGCTGACAGTTTTATAGGAGCTCCCTTACCAGTTTCTAGTTGCCTTTCTCTTTCTTTTAGGATTCTCTCTGTCTTTAACCTTTGCCGTTCTAATTATAATGGTAAATATAATTTTTTAATCATGCTCTTCTCATTCTAAGATGCATTTATTTGCCACAGGAATTGGGCCTCCTTCAGTTGCGGGAAGGTGCATCTGGAAGAAGCTTGAGGTCTCCACTATGCTGCTTAACTATACTAGCTTTCCATACTTATATCTCCCTAATACTTGGTAAGGACTGGGTTACATTTTATGTCATTGACAGTTGATTTATCTTTTATTTGAGTAAAATTTAGAAAAATCAGTAAGAGTTAGTAGTCTATATCTGTTTATTTATTAATTTATTTATTTTTGAGTAAAGATGGAAAATGTGTCATTTGTCATAGTGATATTTGGCAGAGGGTGGTGGAGGGTTTCTTTCATTGAATTTTTAAATCTGTTCTCAGCTAAAGGAATTCTATAAAACTTGTTGATGTTGATCTATTTTAGCATCTTCATATTAGATTTCTTTTTAAATTAAATTTTGTGCTAAAATAAGTTAATATTGCTGTTAAAACCAGAAACTCCAATTAAGAACCAAAGACAGTTCCCTCCATGCCTAAGAATTAGTCTGTCCTAGAGCTTTCTTAAACTAAAGTCGTAGATGAGACTTGTCCTATTTTATTTTTCAAAGGTAAAAAGGACAAAATAACAGTTTTCTTCTTTTCCATGAAGAGGGCTTTGCTGTATTTTAATGAAATTTAGAGAGTTAATTATAAGTATCTACCATGCTTCATGAAGTCTGAGGCTTTTCCTGTTCACTTTCTAGGTACGGGGGAGGTGAATCTTGTGGAAGCAGAGGGCCTCCTCGCGCCCTTCCTCCAGCAGTTTCCAGATGTACGTTTGGAATTTCAAGTGTATGTTTCAACCATAATCAGTCAACCAGGGTTGAGCATTGAACAGCCTCTTCTCTTCCTTTCTCCACAGGGCTCACTCATGTTGTTTTATCATGCCCGAATAGAGCTGCTGAAAGGGAATGTGGAAAAGGTAATTTATTTGGGGGGAGTCATTTGGGGAGTTGTCCGTATGGTGGAGGTGCATCACACACTCATTCAAAATAAGGAAATTTGGCTCTATGCACTAGGCATAAACAACAAAAAAGCTATGTAATGAAAAAGTCAAAATTTAATTTTGTGTGTGCATTTTGTTATATGTAGTAGATTACTGATTATAGTGTACATAAAGTAAAGAGGCAGTTCAGGGTAGAATCTACAAAATACAGGTCGACAATTTAAGGGATTTTCCAAAAAGCTCAACTATAATCAATTTCTGTATTACATATTGACCTTTGAATCTAGCCCCTGCATAAGATACAACTCCACTGTACTACATGTATGCTCTCCATCAAAGGAAATTATTCACTAATTCTCTTAAAGAACAAGATCAAGAACCTTTTATGTAATTATACTCAACAATTTTCTTTATACAAATTGGGTCAAAGATAAATGTATTTTTCTTTAATTTTTTGTTTTGTTTTGTTTTTCTACTTACAATATATCTTGGATTTCTTTCCAGGTCAGTGTATTCAAATCCCCCTCATTTTTTTTGATGGCCAGATTTCATTCCATGGAATGGATGTACTACACTCATTAAAGCAGTCCACTATTGATAGATATTTGGTTACTATAAACAGTGCTATTGTAAACATCATTATGTGTATATTTCTGTGCATAGAGGTAGTTATATCAGACAGATTCTGATCATTAGGATTTCCGGGTCAAAGATGTTTGTATTTTGATACACTCAGCCAACTTGCCCTCCTAACTTAAGGCTCTTCCATTTAAACTCTGTAAAGATATGAGAATACTTGTTTCCAGTGGTTTGGGGTTTTTTTTGCCAACTTTGGACATTATCTATCTGGCTTTTTTTCCAAATGTCATGGCCAAACAATGATAACCTAATTTTAAAATTTACATTTTTTCAGTTTACAAATTTCTTCATATGTATATCTGTTACTTGTGTATCTTTTTCTCTAATTTGCTTATTCATATCTTTGATGATTTTCCTATTGAGTTGTTTGTCTTTTTCTTAAGGATTTTATAAAATTGTTTTATGATAGGGGTTAATCCTCTGGTAGTTATGTATGTGGTGATACCTTCTCCCAGTTTGTCCATTACCTTTAATTTCGTTTAAGGTATATTTTTCCCTGTGGAAGTTCCGGCTTTTATTGTCAGTGTTTTCTTAAAGGACTTCTACATTTTATATCTTATTTAGGAGGGAACATCCCTGTTCCCATATTATAAAGTTTCATGGCCCCTTCACAAAGTTAAGAAGCAGAACTTAACTGCATCATTGCATGTAAGGAAAGACCATATTGTCGTATTTAGTGGTTTACTAAGTGGTGATTTTTTCTTTTTGTACAAAGTGTTTTATGTATTTTTCCATTAGGTTATTTCCTTGTGTAATATCTGGATGATCAGCTTTATGCAATTGACTTATAGGCACAAGAGGTATTTCGAAAATGCATTTCAGTTCAAGAAGAATGGAAACAGTTTCACCATCTCTGTTATTGGGAGCTGATGTGGATTCATGTATTCCAACAAAACTGGATGAAGGCATATTACTATTCAGATCTGCTTTGCAAAGAGAGTAAATGGTCCAAGGTAAAGTACAGTGCTTTTATTAATGTCATCGGTTTGCTCCTAAGTGTACGGAATGATTTGCATTAGGGTCTGTTTATTTAATAGTATGGTATGGACACGGTTTTCTCAGCTTTGAGATCCGTTGAAGAGGAAATGTACATTTGGTGCCTGTTGTTTAAAACCATGGTCCTGAGCACGACATGCTTTAAAAACCATCCAGAGTCCTTTGCAAAAGAGACCTTACCTCTGAAGAGGAACTGCACTTAATATACATTAAAAGTTATTCAATATCAATAGTTTTGATAATTTTTCGTAGACCTTCCAATACCCTTATGACAGTTTTTTATAATAATGTACATTAATGCTGATTATTTGTGAGAAGTTGGGAGGAATGAGATAATGATCTCTTGTTCATTTTGTCCATTTTCTCACCCATGAACGCTATAGATGTATAATAGGAAAATGGTCAAAATTAGGTGAAAAGTCTTCATCTCATTTGCAATAGGCAATATAAAACTTCATTTCCATGTATTTCTTTGATGCCTCTGAAATACCGTATTTGGAAGGTTTGTAGGTCATTTCTGATTGCAAGGTAGAAATGTCATGTATCTAGGGATGTTCTATAACTAGATGCTTTTCTTCATTTCCTCAAGGCCACATATGTGTTCTTAAAAGCTGCTATTTTGAGTATGCTTCCAGAGGAAGATGCCGCAGCAACTAAAGAGAATGTGGTAACGTTATTCAGGTAAGCAAGACACTATTTCCATAACCAAGACCCTGAATGTATAGAGGAGCACACAAATACGTCTCTTTTTTTTCCCTTGTGCTCCTCCATGCTTCACTCACGTATTTCTTTAATTTAGCTATGCATTTGATACAAAAACTCTTAAAAAATACAGTTAGCCAAGAGCCAAAATGTCGTCATCTTAGCAGGATTTTGCAGATATGCTGGTGTGATTGGGAATCTTGAGAACACATTATTTTTGTTTTGTTATTGGGGCTTTGCTGCTGCCTTTTGAACAGTTTCCTAAAATGGTATTGTTAGCAAAAGATGATAACTGTTGCTGTGAATTAAAGGCATTTTGTAATCAGGTAAACTTAAGAAACACAGTATAACGTATCCTTAAGTTTTCATTAGTGTGCAAAGATTCTGAGAAGCTCTGCTGTGAAGTAATCTGTTTAGCTTTGGTTAGACCAGTATCCATCCATCCGTCTGTCTGTCCTTCCATCTGTCCATCCATCCATCCATCCATCCATCCGTAACCCTTTTGTTGAGCACCTACTGTGTGAAGGGTACTGTGTTGGGTGCTGAATAAGTAGGCGTGGCTTCTGTCCTCTTGGACCTTATGCGTATATAACCTTGTAGTGAAAATAGACATCAGTGAAATAATCACACAAATAAATGCAAAATTACACTATGTGACTGATTTTTTTCCTCATACATCTCTCATCACTCTTAGTATCTTTATAGGCTTATCCTATTTTATCTAGTTACTAAATATTGATACTTTTTATTTCAAAGGTCAGTCTTAGAGCCTCCACCTTAGGGAATCTCATCCAAGCCAAACTTAAATCTGTAGTTCAGACCTCATGACTGAGCTCCAGACCCCTATATCTGCCTTCACTTGGATATGGCAAAGCATTTTAAACTCACCATTTCCAGTCTCCCCTAGCAAACCTGGTGTTTTTCCTCCTGTCAGGGATTGGGACCACCAATTAGCAAGTCAGACACCAATGATACTTGCATCATCAACACTACCCACTTGTCCCCTCATCCCCTAATGGGGGAAGAGGTACTATGTATAAAAGCATGAAGGGAATGATGGTAGAGATGAGGTCTAAGGTAGAGTAGGAGCTTCTGAGGTATTTTGGAGTTGTCATCATGCCATTTTACACCAAGGGAACAGCATGTGAAAGGACCCTGTTGCAGGAAAGAGTACTGCACATTTAAAGAACTAAAGCCCATATTTGATGGACATGATGCTACATTTTTTAATATACAGGTCAAAGGAAAAGAAATGTCAAGGATTACTCAAAATATGTCCCACAGAACACAGAATTCCATTTCAAAATAAGGCAAAGTGTGTATTTTGTAACACAGAGATCATTGGTAACCCTAGCAGGAGCTGATAAGGTAATAGAATGGAGCTGGAAACCAGATTGGGGTTGGCTAAAGAGTGAATGTGAGTTGAGCATAAATACATTCCTGGGTAACTTTAACTATGAAGGGGAGGTGGGGTGGGTGGGGGGGGGGGAGAGAGAGATGGAGGGAGATGTAATATCACAGAGTATTTTAATGAGAGAGAAACCACTGAAAAGGATCCAGTTGAGAAATAAAAGTTGCACATATGATTGGAAAATGGGTAATTAATATTTGTCAGTTTCCTGAGAAGACAAGAAGATAGAATCCAAAGCACTGATGGCAGGAACGGATTTATCTAGAAGAAGGACCAGGTCCTCTTTTGTGTCGGGAGGGAAGGAGTACAGAATAGGTGCTGCGCTTATCTGTGGCAGTATGAGATTGAGGACTTTCTCCCTCATAGTTTCTGTTTTTCTTTATGAAGTGGGAGGCAGGGTCTTCTGTTTAAAGTGAAAGAGAAGGGGTTGGGCTGGAGGCCCGAGGAGGATGGAGAATGTTTGAAATCATTGCTGCGGAGAGTGGGGCAGTGAAGTGTTGAGAGACATGGTAGGGATAATGGCAGGCAATACAAGGGCCCATTGGAGGTCAGAGCTGATGGATTTATAGGGATACCAGTCTACTCTCAGTGTGGGTGCAGGGAAGGTGGGTAGTGAGCTTCACCCAGGGCTTGGTTTTTGCCACATGAGTGCAGCGACTCGCCAGTGGACACAGGAGTTTAGGACATAGGCCTGAACGTGCTGGAGTATAGGACAGGGCACCTAAGCAGGGCTATGGAAGAACAGGGAGAACGAAGAAGGCGCCTAGATTGGGAGAAAGCTGAAGGTGCCCTGAAAGTCTCATGAGACAGCTGGATTAGAATGAGGAGAACGGTGTTCAAAGGGTGGTGTGCTTGAATGTATGCTTTGATGTAGAAAAGTTACAGGGGATAAAGGGGCAGGTGGTTGTAGAAAGGAGGAGATGACTACTGGAGATGACGGAGTTACGGCATGGAGAAGCGACTCTGCATTCCTCAAACGTAATTGATGACAAAACCACTTAAATGGAATAAATATTAAATTGTATTGCCACATTATGAGAGAGAGGGTATCGTAGCTGAACCCTCAGACTCATCACAACAAATTTGAAGGTATGACCAGGGTGATTTTTTCGTCTCCTTTTTAAAAGCTCTTTTAAAATGCAGGACCATGGTTACTAACTGTAGCATCCACATTAGTAGAAGCCATGGTATGATACATGCTACTTTTTACTGATAAAATGCATTTTTTTCATTTCACATAAACAGTAACTAATGGAAGGTAATGGAATATTAAGATACATTGAAATCTTTTAAATCTTCTTCCTGTTTCCTCCACTTCAGAATAATTTTTTTCCATATCAAAACAATTTGTTCGAAACATGTGACCAATCTTGCAGGCGAAAGCTTCAGGTCTGCCATATGATAGCGTCTAATTTGTTGGAATAATGACAGGAGAGTCTCCAAAATGAATGTTGTCTTCATACGTACTCTGTGACCATTAAACCATGAGGTTTCATGTCCAGTGCATGTTTCTGACCCCTTCCCTCAGCCTCACCTCACATCTCCACTGCCTCTTCCACTGATGTTAATGAACTTCAAAACCGGAGTATTCTAGGTTAAAACCCATATCCCCAAATGGTGCCCAGAAATAACCTAATAGAATTTTGTCCTCATATTGGAATATTTTTTTCTCGTTTTGTCTTCCTTTCTTTCAGTGATGTTTTCCTGAATTCTCTGCAACGCGTTTGATGCATTTACAAATTTATGTGTCAGGAAGTGCTCTAGGAACATGGAGTCTCCCCATCCTACTCTCATTTTATGTGCTTGTGAATGTCATAATTGGAATTTCTTAGAATTGTGAGAGGAAGTTTGTAAACATGGTGCCTGTCCTTAGCTGATTATTTACAAAATCACGTATGCTTGGGAAACATTTTCTCAAGTTACATCTTAATGGACAGCTATCTTTTGAGCCATGTTATTTTATAGACCTGTGTCATAGTTGGCAATAGGAATAGGAACTATACCAGTATATTTTCTTACCTCTGAGTATCCACAATGTAAGTTACCACTTTGGGCTCTTTCCTTTTTGCTTACCGAAATTTGCCAATTTTATATCTGGATTTCCTGTGTTAGATCAAGACATTGGCTAAGTTAACTAGAAGGACGGATGTGTCAATCAGAAAAGTTCTCCATCTTAAGTGAGCTTCAGAATCACCTCGTGGACTCATTAAAATCCAGAGTGCTGTGTCCAGCCCTAGAATTGCTGATTCTGTAGGTTTGGGGTGGAGCCTGGACATTTGCGTTTGAACAGGTTTCCTGGTGGTACTGACGCTGCTGGTCTGCGGAACGCAGTGTGAACACCACAGGTACAAACACTGTCTGTGTTCTAATGACCTCTCGCTGGGGTGGGCTCTTCACAGACAGGTGGAGAGCTTGAAGCAGAGAATTGCTGGGAAATCTATTCCTACTGAGAAGTTTGCTGTGAGGAAGTCTCGACGGTACTCCCCCTCGCTGCCTGCCCCCGTGAAGCTCGTCTTGCCTGCCCTGGTATCTGCCTTCATTTTACTTACTGTTTGCATCCTAGAGATCAATTGTCTTTATAGCAGCGGGGAGCACGCCTAACTTCTGTTGTGAAGTTTAGCTCCATTAAAAACCATTGTGTTTCTGTAAGGTGAACATTCATAAATAAATCATTACTAATTAAATAATAATAAAAGTTATAGCTAATGCTTTTTTGGCTAGTTGGTATGTTCTAGGCATTATGATAAAGACTATTTTAAAAAATGTATCATTGAATTCCTACGGTAACTCGATGAGGGTAGTTTCGGTTTGTAGCCCCATTTTAGAGATAAAGAAATTTAGGCAGAGAGGTGGGTTGACTTAATTGAAGTTGCGCTGAATTGTAATGTGAACCTCATATGTAATTTTACCTATTCTAGTAGCCACATTAAAAATGAAAAGGTAAAAAATTAAAAAGGAAAGCGGAAACCTGAAAATAATTTTAAGAATATGTTTTGTTTCACCCCGTATATGCAGAATGTTGTTGTTTGAACATGTAATCAATCAAAACTAAATGATAATCACATTTTTTTTATATTGTGCTAATTCTTTGAAATCTGGTGTGTATTTTACTTAGAGTGCATCTCCGTTTGGACTAGCCACATTTCCTGTGCTCAAAAGCCCGAAGTGGCTGCTTGCTACTGTGGCAGTGCTGGAGCTCACGATATTAATCGTTAGGCCATTTAGGCTAGACTCCCTAAAAAGCATAATTTCAACTTAAATTTTCTTAATGAAGACTCTTTTTAAAAGTACTGAATATATCAGATTACTGAGGCCCTTTGAGGCTTTAGATTTGCTTAGGTAGTCAGATAGCACAGGAAAGCCATTTAGTGCGAGCTGACGTCTTCAGTTTTCCTCTGGGGTTTCGTAAAAAAAAATAAATAAATAAATTTTTTTTTTTAATTTTTATTACAGAGTTTATTCATTTATTCCCCTTTATTCCCCAACTGAGTCACTCAGTTGTTTCTTTTCCTTCTTTCTTTCCTTCCTTCCTTCCTTCCTTCTTTCTAAATTAAAGTTTATTGGGGTGACAATTGTTAGCAAAGTTGCATAGATTTCAGGTGTACAGTTCAGTAATACATCATCTATATATCACATTGTGTGTTCACTCAGAGTCAGTTCTCTTTCCATCACCGTATATTTGATCACTCAGTTGTTTCTAGTTTTTCCTATTTCAAACATGCTACAGTGCATACTTTGTTTTATATTTTGTTTTACATTTTCTTTTTGTACACAAGTATATAATTCTTCAGGAAAGCTTTCTAGGAATGTAATTCTTGATTTTAGGGTATATACATTTAATGTTTTGACATTGCCAAATTGCCTTCCAAAAAGGCTGTACCAATTTAAATTTCTACCAACAGTGTTTTACTGTTTTAGTTTGCATTCTCCTCTTGGTGCAGTTTCATGTGCTTATTCATTTTTATTTCTTTTTTTGTGTGAATTCTTCATATACTTCTCTAGTTTTTCATGAGGATGTTTGTTGTTTAATCATTGAATTATAGGAGCTCTTTATATATGCAGTGAGAAAGAAAACTGCAGCCCACAGAACACAGGTGACAGATAGGAGCTGGCCTGCACCTAGTGCTGAGGTCCAGGAGTTCCCCACTTCAGATAAACAGTCTCAGGGAACACGACCGTCAGAACAGGTTATTGTGTGCCTGTGACAGACAAAATATGACCAAGCTGTAATCATATATGAGCACAGACAAAAATAGAACGCCATGCCAATTACAAAAATGACACATATCCCTCTTTCCCAGCTAACATGGGGGCCTGCTGCTGTTTTACCAATGACAGCTTTTAGCTCCGTTCCTGATTCATTTCTATCAGTGATTTGTGCTTGGAAAGTTTTTCTTTCTGTGTTGCAGAACTTTCCTGAAAATCTTCTAGAGCATCATAGTCCTTTTTCTGCTCTAGAACTTAGATGCTAACCGTATCCTGCTTTGATTATTAAGGGTACTTATTTCTCTAGATCTTAGGGTATAGAACTGGCTTGAATTTGTGGTAACTAGGAATTTTACCAAAATTCTATATTTCAGAAAATCTCAGATATGAGCTTGACTTCTTATGATGAAATATTTATCAACAAATGCAAAATTTTAAAAATGATCATCAATTAAAATAAATATTCCATTAGCTATTGAATTGAGCTGTTAGTGAATTAGTAACAAGAAACTCTTAGATGTAAAATAAAAGGTAGGATGTGTTGGCCCTAGTTTTCAGTGCCAGAAAGTAAAGATGACTTTGTTGCCACTTTACTCAAATGTGTTTTCTTCATTTCCACTGCTTCCCTGTAAGAGGCTGTTCAAACAATATCTTTATGTTTTAGAATATATTTCCAAGAAGGTACTAATCACCCTGCTTATTTCATTTCATTCAAAATATGAACTGCACTACTAGGAAGATTAGAAGAATATTTTTAAACAAAAGCACATTTGCTTTTGGTCCGAAAAACCTCACTCATCTCTTAGCCTATTAAATGTAATTTGCAATGAGAAAGCATTAGTTTCCATTTTTAGGGGCTGTCATTCAACCATATGGCCTTTAAATGAATGCATTTTCTGCATATGGAATTGCATTACTGTTGCATTACTGGACTGTTGCATGTTTTCATTAAAAGAATCTAAGCCCAGTAAAATATCTCCTGTGTTCATTTCCAGTGATGTTCTTGGAAACAGTCTATGTAAACAATTGATAGATATTTTAAAATGTTTCCCTTTACTTAAAAGTAACAATAAAAATTTGTATTAGATAGAATTGTTTACACTATCACTTTAAAATGTTATATTTATTTCTGTGTCTGTAATTTATTATCTTCTAAAAGGATTAAATACCAGTAGGTGCTTAATAAATATTCGTTAGATGAATGAGTAAATTCATTTTTAAGTAAAAACATACTATACTATGTGTATTAAATTACTTCACAGTATAAAAGGCAAAAAGCATATCGTAAAATGAGAAAAGGGGAAATTATATCACAAAACTTCAGATGATGAAAGCTAAGGAAAATGATTCCTAAATGTTGTCCTGAGATCCCTAGCAACCAAAGCCAAACACACATACGTAGTTGTGTTGCCTTGTTGTGGTAAAGGACACCGAATAACCACACGTCATTGTAAATGGTTTTTCACTCTTCCTCGTTAGGAAATGATGTACATCTGGAATGGTTTTCCAGTAGTGTGCAAAAGAAAGGACCTTTCGGAAAATCTGTTGCTAACTGTTGAAAAGGCTGAGGCAACTTTACAAAATGAAAGTAAGTATGAAAAGTATAAAAGCCTAGAAATCTTCACCATTACTGTCCTCATGTCCTATCCCTGTGCACATCTGCCCGTGTTAATCTGTGTGCATCACAAGGACAAAAGAGCTTGGGCTGCAGGTGTTGGGGTGCAATCAAGCTGAAGGGAGGAATGATACATGCTTCAAACATGGATGAACCTTGGGGACATTAGGCTACGTGAAAGAAGCCAGTTGCAAAAGACTATATATTATGACCTGTAAAGACAGAAAGTATTATAGATTAGTGGTTGCCGGGGGATGGGAAAAACTGAGGTGGGGGTTATAGCTAAAGGGTTTGGCATTTCCTTTTGGGGGTGATGAAAATGTCCTAAGATCAATTGTGGTGATGGTGGTACAACTCTGTAACATACTCAAGCCAGCGAATTGTCTACTTTCCATGGCTGAATCGTATGGTATGTGAATTATATCTTAATAAACCTGTTACCAGAAAAGATGAAGGAGAGAAGGCAATCACTTTAGAGCAACACAAGGAAAGCATGCACTTCTGAGTTTAGTTTGCGGCGCTTTCCATGCCTCCTTTTGCTCTCTAAGGAATATCATGTTTTTGTAGATACAGAGAATTGTTTTCAAGTTTAATCTTATCATAGTTTAATTTTTCACTCATTATTTTTTATTGTATTAGAGGCCCCTGTCCAGTTTACTGGTTGCTCCATTCCCTGGAAGCAGCTGGCCTGTTAGTAGAAGGCTTACAGTCCCAGCCCCTCAGCTGCGAGACTCTGGGAAACATACCTCATCTCTCCCAGCCTCGGTTTCTTTTAAAACGGGAGTGGTGTTAGGCCAGGTGATATCCCAAATTTTCTTGTTCTGACATTTTCTAATTCTCAGTCTTTAATAGAGGCTTTCTCTCTTTTTTTTTTTTTTTAAAGATTTTTATTGGGGAATTGGGGGATGGGAACAGTGCTAGGGAATTGGGGGAAGGGGAACAGACAAGTTGCTGTCCTTTTGTTCTTCAGTCTAGTTGTGGAGGACGTTGCTTCACTGGCCCAAGTTGGCACCATCATTGCGCTCTTCCCAGGCAAGGCAGATCAGTCGCCGGCTTCTGGACGGCTGCTCACTGCGGCTGCTGGCCGCTCACGCTGGCTGCTGGCTACACACAGTAGCCCATGGCAACCCACTGCCACAGGGGCTGCAGCCTATGCCATCGCCGGCGACTCAGGGCAGCCCAGCTCCAGGTTGAGCTGTTGTTCAGCATCTTAGCTGTGGAGGGCAGTGTCACTGGCCCTCATATGTGGGATCCAAACCGGGGCCCTCTGGTGTCCCAAGCCAGCTCTTAACCATCGCGCCACTCGGCCGGCCCTAACTCATTTTTCTTAGCTGGAAAAAGATGGGCACTGGAGGAGCACTGCCTCCATACTCAATATACTTGCCTATTCCCCCCACGACCCGTCCCCCTACCCCATGGGGATGACATTAGTGAATATGGCTCCAGGGACGAGGACCTCATTCGGATCATTTTTGTATTTGGAGCTATAGTATGAAGCTGAAATGCTTAATGACATTACTCTTTACAATTTTAAAAAATTAAACACATAATTACAGTTGATAGATGTAGGTGAAAAAAGTCACCCACATTTTTGCTGAGGCACAATTAATTTATAATTTTTGTCTATTCCATCCTAGCCTTATTTTTATCGTTACGATCAGTGTACCTGGACATACACTAGCCTAGTTTTTCTTTGTTGAGTATGTCATACACTTTTTTATAAATTTGAGGTATAATTGACATATAACATTATATTGGTTTCAGGTGTACAACATAATGGTTCAATATTTGTATACGCTGCAAAATCATCACCACAATAAGTCTAATAAGTCTGTCATCATACATAGTTACACAATTTTTTTTTCTTTTGATGAGTACTTTTATGAGCTGCCGTATTTTGCCGTGTATAGTGTGCACATTTTTGCCCAAATTTGTCAGGGAAAAATAATGATGTGCATTATACATGGGTAGGACTAATTCTGTATCTATATAAATGTTTTCGGTTCTTTTATTTATGCTTACGAGTTAAAAGTGTAACTCTAGAAATCAATAATGATATCCATATGCAAAATAATTCCCTGGAATACAGTAATCAGTTTTGTTGAACTTGGCAGTGATGAAGAGTTCTTGGCCTTCTATGATGCGTAAATGTTGTAAATTTGTTACCGGTACATAAAATTTCTTGTACCTTGTATCTGTTCTTGTGTTTCATAATTATTTGCTACATAAAATTTCTTCTACCATAATATGTTAAAAAAATAAATGCTAAAATTCCTTTATAATACAAAAACCAAGTATCTACATGTAAATAAATAAAAATTTGAATTAAAAAATTAAAGCAGAGATTTTTCCCTGAAGGTTTGGGCCACGAACGTTGGTGTGCATTATATGTAGGAGCGCATTATACACGGCAAAATACAATACTCTCTTAGCAATTTTCAAATATGCAATACAGTATTATTAACTATGGTCTCCATGCTATATATTACATCTCCATGACTTATTTATTTCATAACTGGAAGCTTGTACCTTTTGACCCCCTTTACCCATCTGCCCACCCACCATCCCCTGTCCCCGGCAACCACCAATCTATGTTCTCTGTATCTAATGAGCGTGTTTGTTTTTATAATTTTATTTTTTAATTAAAGTTTATTGGGGTGACAATTGTTAGTAAAGTTACATAGATTGCAGGTATAAAATTCTGTAAAACATCATCTATATACCACATTGTGTGTTCACCACCCAGAGTCAGTTCTGTTTCCATCACCATGCATTGGATTTGGTTTTTGTTTTTTTTAAAGATTCTCCTCCATATAAATGAGATCATACAGTATTTGTCTTTATCTGATTTATTTCACTTAGCATAATACCCTCAAGGTCCATCCATGTTTTTGTAAATGGCAAGATTTAATTCTTTTTTATGGTTGAATAATATTCATGTGTGTGTATGATTATCTTTATCCATTGATGGACACTTATGTTATTTCCATATCTTGGCTATTGTAAATAATGCTGCGATAAACATGGGGTGCATATAGCTTTTTGATTTAGTGTTTTCCTTTTCTTTGGATGGATACCCAGAGTGGAATTGCTAGATCATATGGCATTTCTATTTTTTTTTATTAGTTTCAGGTGTACAAAATAACATAATGATTAGACATTTACTCACCTCAAAAAGTGATAACCCCCCCCCCAAGTCTACTACCCTTCTGGCATCGTACATAGCTATTACAATACCATTGACTATATTCCCTATGCTGTACTTTACATCTTGTGACTATTTAATATACACTTAATTATAGTTGATATTCAATTTTACTTTATATTAGTTTCAGGTGTACAGTGCAGTGGTTAGGCATTGATACAACCTATGAAGTGATCCCCCCGATAAGTCCAGTACCCATCTGACACTCTGCATAATCTTTACAAGATTATTTATATTCCCCATACTGTATTTCACACCCCCATGACTATTTTGTGACTATCAATTTGTGTTTCTTCATTCCTTTACATTCTCCCCCATGTCCCAATGCCCCTCCCTTCTAGCAATCATCATTTTTTTTCTCTGTATCTCTGAATCTGTTTCTGTTTACATTACTCATTTATTCCATTCTTTAGATTCCACATGTAAATGAGATCATACGGTATTTTTCTTTCTCAGCCTGACTTATTTCACTTAGCATAATGTTCTCTAGGTCCATCCATGTTGTTGCAGATGGTAAGATTGCATTCTTTTTTATGGCAGAGTAGCACTCCATTGTATAAATGTACCACAGTTTCTTTATCCAGTCATCTATTGGGGGGCATTTTGGTTGTTTCCATATCTTGGCTATTGTGAATAGTGCTATAGTGAATATGAATAGGGTTGCATATATCTTTTCAAATTAGTGTTTTGGATTTCTTTGTCTAAATACTCAGGTGTGGAATTCCTGGGTCATAAGGTAGTTCTATTTTTAATTTTTTGAGGAACCTCTATACTATTTTCCATAGTGGCTGCACCAATTTGCAATCCCACCAACAGTGAATGAGGGTTCCCTTTTCTCCACAACCTCGCAAGCACTTGTTGTTTCTTGGTTTATTGATGATAGCCATTCTGACAGGAGTGAGGTGGTATTTCATTTCATTTTATTTGGATTTCTCTGATGATTAGTGACAGTCAGCATCTTTTCATACGTCTGTTGGCCATCTGTATGTCCTCTTTGGAACAATGTCTCTTCATGTTCTCTGCCCATTTTTTTTTTTTTTTTTGCTGAGCCATCCTGCTACCTGTTGGCAGCTCAGCGGCTGCTCCCCTCGGGCCGGGACTCGAACCACTCTGCCCATTTTTAATTGGATTACTTGGTTTTTTGGTGTTGAGTTGTATTAGTTTTTTATAAATTTTGGATATTAACTCCTTATCATTGGCAAATACCTTCTCCCATTCAGTAGGATGTCTTTTCATTTTGTTGATGGTTTCCTTTGTTGTGAAAAACCTTTTTAGTTTGATGTAGTCCCATTTGTTTATTTTTTCTTTTGTTTCCCTTGCTCTAGGAAATATATCAGTAAAAATATTACTAAGGGTAATGTCTGCAAGTTTACTTCCTATGTTTTCTTTTAGGAGTTTTATGGTTTTGGGTTTTACATTTAAGTCTTTAATCAATTTTGAGTTTATCCTCGTATATGGTGTAAGAAGCTGGTCCAGTTTAATTTTTTTTGCATGTATCTGTTCGGCTTCCCCAGCACCATTTATTAAATAGACTGTCTTTACCCCAGTGTAAATTCTTGCTTCCTTTGTCATAGATTAAATAACCATATAGGCATGGATTAATTTCTGGGCTCTTTGTTCTATTGCATTGATCTATGCATCTGTTTTTATGCCAGTGCTATGCTGTTTTGGTTACTGTGGCCTTGTGGTATATAATTCGATATCAGGTAGCATGATACCTCTTGCTTTATTCTTATTTCTCAGGATTGCGGTGGCTATTCAGGTTCTT